AAGATCCACTGAAACATCCATGTACAAAAAATCTCAACACAAAATAGTAGAAGGCAATGCAAAGTGGATATTTAAAGATGCAATCAATACCAAGGTTCAGCATAGACTACTATTCCCCAATATGCTGTTCTGAGAAATCTGAATTGCAAGTTGTTACTGCAGTGCTGACATAGACCAACACAGCAGGTGTATGCAAACTAAATTGTGGGTAGAGTAAGTGCCATTTATACAAATACCTTTACGGTCTGACCCACTATCTGGAAAGCCAAAATATAGTGGTGCCTCGCATTACGACGTGAATTCGTTCCAGCAAAATCGCTGTAGAACAAAAATGTCGTAAAGCGATTTTTAAAAGCCCACAGAAATGCATTAAAACCTGGTTAATGCGTTCATATGGGCTGGAAACTCACCGTCCAGCGAAGATCCTCCATAGCGCGGCCATTTTCGCTGCCTGTGCAGCGAGGAATCCGTCCCAGACAACAGCGTGCGGCCATTTTGTTTACCTGGTGGCCATTTTGAAACTGCCAATCAGCTGTTAAAAAATCATCGCTTTGCGAGAATCAGTTCCCGAAGCAGGGAACAGATCATCGCAAAGCGAAATTTCCCCCATAGGGAACATCGTTTTGCTATCACTTTTGCAATCGCAAAAACATCGACATCAAGCGGTTTCGTCGTTAAACGGAGCCCCCGTCTTGCGGGGCACCACTTTACAATATAAGGAGGAGATCAAACAACCTCAGAAACAGAATTATACTTCAGATAACCAAGGGCTTTTCATGTTCAAAATAAGTATGTCACAGCACAGTTAAATGAGGAAAGTCACAAAGCTGCTTTAAAGTCATATTCTTGAAAGCAAGTTTATATCCAGCTTTCTTTTAAAAAGAAAGAACACCTACTTGGTTTTGACCATATATTATTCCATTATTTTAACTATAAAAGGAGAACAGATCAAATATTTTCCAGATGAATACAAGGCCAGGTCCCTAGCATGCAATGAGATTTTCTGTATACTTTCTAGCTTACATCTATGACTACATCAATAATTAAAACTTAGGTATTACAATGAACTAGCAAAAACTATTAATCAAGCAGTTCATAAGTACTTTAACACACCTTAGCTACAGTACACTTTCTTCAAACTATAAGGAATTTTCCAAAATCTTTCAAAGTTAATGATAAATATGATGCACATCAGATATAGCAGTTCTTAGATTTACAGTGGATGGATCCAGATGCAAGGCATATGCTTCCTGAGTAAGAGAAGCATCACTGGCTCCAACCCAGTGTTCACCACCACCATACATTCCTCTTTTTGAAACCAAACACAAGGTCAGAGTATTTTCAAAGAAAGTTGCAGAAGTTGCTAACAAGGAACTGGACATTTGTGCAGAAGACTTTTTCTAATGTGCCAAGCACATTAAAATTTCAAAGAAAACTTATGCTCCATTTAAAGATAACACACGAACTGTGAACTACTGAGCAATGATTTCAAAGTCACAAGTACAGTGGTGCTTCACAAGACGAATTAAATTCGTTCCACAGTTAATGTTGTCTTGCAAAAAATTCATCTTGCGAAACGTGTTTTCCCACATGAATGCCTTGAAATCTAATTAATGCATTCCTATGGGCAAAAAAAAGTCAGAACAAAGTCAAGTTTGGTTTACATAGGGTATCATAGAAAAACATTTAAAAATCAGCAAACATGAGGCAGGAACAAAAAACAGAAAACATTCGTCTTGCGAAGCACTGCCATAGGAACAGTTGTCTTGCAAGTCATCAACCCCATTGCCAAAACCATTTGTCTTGCGGGTTTTTTGTCCTGTGAGACATTTGTCTTGTGAGGCACCACTGTATTTTAAACATGACTAATCTAGGTGCACAAAGTTATGATTGCAAGCTGTAAATTTCCTGGAAAGGCTTTTACAGTGCATCTCCATTTCTCCCATGAAAGGCACCACAGTTGCAGCCAATCTAGTCCTGGTATCATAAAGCAAATGTTATAACATTTTTTAAAAAAATCAGTGGCACTGGCACAGCCAGTGTTAACATGCTTGATTCCTTAAAATGAAGTCATGGTGAATCTTTAACAAAATTTAAATTCTATTTTATGTATAAATACCCGGCTTAATTTTCAGAGAGAACTATCAGAGACATAGAATGGATCACACAGATGAGTTAGAAACAGTATAGATGCTACTGTAGAAGTGGTAGAAACTGTAAAGAAGTAATGGCACATTTGAAATTGCCAAAATGATACTCTTAACTCTACTGCAGTCTTCTACAACTTGTACACTCCATACGATTTGGACATTGACTCCCATGATCAATGACCATTTTAGCAGGGGTTGGTAAGAGTTGCAGTTCAAGACATCAGGTGGGGGGAAAGCTATTCTAAGCGTTCATTTGAAAACATCAGGTGTATCTAAATATTTGAAAACTATATGTCCTCGTATTTAGGTAACAAACACACTATTGACATATGTTGCAAGAAAAAAATGTGTTGAAAGAAGAACAATGAGTTGTAAGGTAGATACTTTCTGAAGGTTTTATGCAAATTTCTTCAGAAAATGAAAAACTGGCTCTAAAATTTCTTAAAGGAAAAAAATTATTTTTCAACCTCTATGAAATTAGGAAATGGCCTGGGAGGGTTGTATAATGTAAAGGATTAGAAGGAATGCTTTGGACTTGATTTTCAGTGTCTAATCCTACCATCTGTCCACTAGTTGTGCCACCAAAACACAGATACACAAAGGACATTCTCAAAAGGATATGTAAGTGCATTATTGAATTATAGTGTTTTGTTGCTTCACAGTAGCCTTTCCCCCCACACAACCCATCCCAAAAAAACCTCCCCATCTATAAATTAAGCTATAGGAGATGACAGTTGCCACTGACTAAGAATATGCTTCAAATGTGCATGAGACAAAAACATGAGAGATACAACATGTATTCTGTTATACAATCCTGGAAAAGAAAATCCCACCTGTTTCTACTAATTATATTTCCAAAACATGACTAGCATCTGTTGCCACTTACAATTGCTCTATTCCACACCCCAACACGTTTACAGCCCATAAATTGATCATCCAACTGAGAAGCGCTCAGTTTCTAATAAGGGTCATAGAGAAAGATGGGAAAAGTTACTTTTTTTAAAAAAAATTACAACTACCAGAATGTCCCAGCAAGTTGGAGTAGTCTGGGAACCATAACCCAGAGAAGTAATCTATCTAGTTGCCTTTGTAGAAAAAGTCTCAGCTTGTACTTATATGTACAGTATTTTAAATCACTCTTGTTATTGAAATTTCAGCCAACTCAGGCATGTTAAAGTTGCAACATAAAACAATGTAATAGAGTGGTAATGACTCTCCACATCCTTTTAAGCAGAACTCAATGAATGAAAAAAAAATCCAGTCTACTGAATCTCCATAGCAATTGCTAATAACGTATTTCAGCAGTTTCTTCTGCTTCAATTGCTCTAAAAATCCCACATTTGTCACAGCCTCAACCATCACAGCAAAACAAGACTAATTTTAAAAAAAAGTCTTCTACAAATAAGTATGCAAAACTCAATTGGGAAAAAGAAAAACTCTATCCCCCAACAAGCTAAACATCCATCAAGATCACATCCAACCATTGTATTTCATGAAATCTGGGGAAACTGGGAAAGGAATATTTGTACACACACCCTTTCCGCATGTTAAAAGTATACTTTTATTTAGCTTGATATGCTGAGGCAGTCCCTAAACTGAGGGAAAACTACGTCTTGTGTCCCGCGATCCTTTCGTGCACGTTCGTTGTGTTGGTTTTAAAGATCACGGGATCATGCCGGTCGTCACGCACGGAAGGCGACGTGGAATTTAAGAAATCCCTCGCGTGCAGAGAGCACCCCACCCTACCCCGATCCGGTCAAAATCCAGCACAAGCCCCGCAGATCCGGTCTGCCTGACTGGTCCCACCCTCTCCCCCTCCTCCTCCTCCTCCAGGAAGGTCCCCCTTTTTTGCTTAAGACGGGAACTTTAATGAGTTTGACAGGCTCCGATCGGCGACCTTCTCCCCGCGCTTCTTTTTGCCAACCACCTAAAAATAACATCCGCGCCAGAACGAACAGAAATAACCACCCTCGGAAAAGGAACCCAAGGCGTGAGAGCTGCGTCGCTCGCTGTCAGCGAAGGAAGCATCTCCTTAGTTAGCAAACGCAGTGACTAAACGCTAAATCTGGATCCCAAGACGGCGGAGAGGGAGGGGAGGGGAGGCAGGAGAGAGCGAGAAAGAAATGCCCACACAGCCCTTCGGAGGAAGAGATGGATAGCCAAGCAACTCCTCCCTCCCTCCCTCCCTCTGCAACCCAAACTCAGGGGTGGGCGGAAAAGGGGAGCGTTTCCAAACCCACCCATCCACCGACCCCGCTGTTTTCTTGCTTCGTCCCAAAACATCCCTCTCCGAGCAAGAAATTCGGAGCCCGGGGTGGGGTAGGATGCTGTTAGTCATCCCCCGAGGAAAACCGAAGCCTGCGCCGCCTTCCTCTCCTCCCCGGAGGGCTTGATCGCAAGAGACATGGGAAGCGGGAGCCGAGCGAGCAAGCGGGGAAGCGGTCCAAGTCGGCTACAAGGCAGCGGGAAAAAAGGGGGGGGGGACAGTGAGCGCGAAAGCAAGCAAGAGCGCCACGCTGCTCGGGCCAATCTTCCTCCCTCGCTCGCTCGCTCGTTCCCAAAGAGGGAGCCACTAGTTGATCGCTGGTGGCCAGGCGAGCCTCGAAAGTGTAACAAGTCTGGCCACGCGCGGCCCCCCCCCCAAACTGCCGCCGCCGCCGCTTCTCTCGAGTTGCCAAAGAGTTGACCCAGGGCTGCTTGGCGAAGGGTCGCCCTCCCAAGCTGCCGCTTCCCCGGCCCAGGTGAGGAAGCGGTGGGCTGCTTGGGGTTCGCCTGTCGGCGATGCTGCTCCCATTCACTCACTCCGCCACCCACCGACCCACCCACGCCTCCGCCTCCTCCGCCGCTCACCTCTTTCAGCTCCTTCGCCACGTCCTTCAGGTCGCCCAGGACTAATTCCAGATCGTCCACGATGATCTTGATCTGTTCCTTCACCTTGGTTTTGGAGGCCGCCGGCACTCCTTCGGCGGGAGAGGAGACGGACGAGGAGGTGGCCGAGGAGGAGGAGGTGGTCCCCTTGGACTTGGCGGACATTCTTCGGGGGGAAGCGCCGGGTGGGTGGGTGAGGGGGAAAGGACCGGCGGGCAGGTTAGGGGAGCTGCTCGGGCTGCTGGCGGAGCACCCAAGGGCGACGACGACGCCCGTCCCCGTCCCTCGCCAGCCCGCTGGAGGAGCTGCTGCTGCCGCCGCCGTCCTCCGGGCTGCCCATCTTGGGTCCCCGTGGCGCTCTGCTCTGGGCGCGCGCCGGCACTGCCATCAACTCCTCAGCAACTGCACTGAGCGAGGGAACCCGGGCTGCGGGCAGGCGAGCCGACGGGCGGGCGTTGCGCCTGCGCCTGCCTGCCTCCTCTCCCTCACACAGGCGCACAGGCACGGGCATGCAGGACCCCTCTGCTCGCTCGCTCGCTCGCCCGAAGCTCGGCCAGAAGGCGGAGGAGGAGGCGGCGGGGGACGAACCCCCCCCCCCCAGCCACCGACCCAGCCAAC